TGTATATAATCAGTTAAACAGTCAGTCAGTCAGTCAGTGAATCAAGGGGAGGGGGGGAGTCTCAGTATGACACACACACCAATCTCACACGTGTGTGTGTCGCAACGCGTGTACTCAAGCACACACACACACACACGCGCGCGCGCACACAATGTCCTCTGGCGTGTGTGTGTGAGACCTTGAGGTGGGGAGGTGGGGGGGGGAGGTAATTACTACGACAGGTATTACGCCAACACCTGAGTTACCTGGCCAGCTCACCACTTAACTTACTCTACTTCTTTCTACTCTTATTTATTTATTTATTAATTTATTTATTTATCTATTATTATTATTATTATCATTATTATCATTATTATTATTATTATTACTATCATTATTATCATTATTGTTATTATTATTATTATTATCATTATTATTATTATTATTATTATTATCATTATTATCATTATTATTATTATTATTATTATTATTATTATTATCATTATTGTTATTATTATTATTATTATCATTATTATCATTATTATTATTATTATTATCATTATTATCATTATTATTATCATTATTTACACCTTCTCTTGCTGTTTCCAGGTATATTTCACTTCAACTACTTCATCTATATCTGTCATCATCTATACACCAGCCACCTTTCTCATAGTGTCTCATTTGTTATATAATTTGACTTATTTTTTATATATTCCACTCTAATTTATTTCTCTTTCATGATGACCTGATTTTTTTCTCTTATTTTTGTACGTATATTTAAGTTACTAAATAGACTCTAGATTCTTACTTAAAATATACGTTTAAGGCTCCTTTAAGTAGCCCCTAAATAGACTTTAATGAAGCCTTAAAACTACCTTAAAAGACTGTGTTTTTTAGGTCACAGGAAATAAAGTAATGGGGTGGAAAGTCATGATTGGTTGATTTCTCATGACGTAATCACCTGGAAAAGACAGCTCTAATTGGTTCCGGGGAAAGAACGCCCTTTTTTTTACTGGCTGATTCATGCATGACGTCATCGATTACGTCATTAATTAACACACGGTCAATAGCTTATTTCACCTGAGGATTAAACACCCCCAACATTACCTGGGGGTTAGATCAGGTTAAAATAAATCCCTTAAAATAAATCCCTCAGAATAAATCCCTCAGAATAAATCCCTCAGAATAAATCCCTCAGAATAAATCCCTAATTAACTCCATACACATACCACCTCCGGCCTCCTCCTCCTCTTGAAGCTTAAAGAAGGCAGGGTATAAATACTCGAGGGGGGGGGGGGCAAGAGGATGCTAAGCCCCAGGAGGACATTAGGTCGAGAATCCAATAGGTTGTATATATAGAACAGAACCATCCTGAAGGTAAACAAATTTCAACCTCCATTCTATCTAAGACGCTGTTGTTGTTGTTGTATGATTTTTTTCGGGGAAAGAGGGGAGAAGGGGAGAGGGGGAGGAGCAGAGGAAGGAAGGGGGGAGAGGAGAAGGGTGGGGGAAGGAAGAAGGAAGGGGGTGGAAATGGTAGTTAATAGTGAGATATGTGTACATGGTGTGACGTGTGTACATGGTGTGAGGTGTACATGGTGTACATGGTGTGACGTGTATATGGTGTGACGTATATGGTGACGTGTATGTAGGTGACGTGTGTATGTGGTGACGGTACATGGTGACGTGCAGCGGTGACGTATATGGTGTGACGTGTACAGGCTACGGTGTGACGTGTGTATATGGTGTGACGTACATGGTGTGACGTGTATATGGTGTGACGTGCTACGATGACGTGTGTATGGTGTGACGTGTACATGGTGTGACGTATATGGTGACGTGTACATGGTGTGACGTACATGGTGACGTATATGGTGTGACGTGTACATGATGTGATGTGTACATGGTGTGACGTACATGGTGTGACGTGTGTACATGGTGTGACGTATAGTGACGTGTGTACATGGTGTGACGTGTGTACATGATGACGTATATGGTGATGTGTACATGGTGTGACGTGGTATATGGTGTGACGTGTGTACATGGTGACGTGTGTACATGATGTGACGTGTGTACATGGTGTGACGTGTACATGGTGTGACGTGTATATAGTGTGACGTGTGTACAGTACATGGTGTGACGTGTGTATATGGTGTGACGTGTGTACATGGTGTGACGTGTGTACATGGTGTGACGTGTGTACATGGTGTGACGTCAACGTTCTGACTCGCATACGAACAAGTAAATCAGATATTGAAATTTTTTCCTTAACGATTCAGTACTTTTTTCCCAGGTATATATTTCCTAGTGTAATACTTTTTTCCCCACTAGCCTATTACTTTACTCCCAAAAGATTCACTGTGTGTGTGTGTGTGTGTGCTTGTAGGGGGGACGGGGTGAGGGTAGGGGGATGGGGTGAGAGGTAGGGGGGATGGGGTGAGGGGAGGGAAGGGGAGGAAGCGGCGCACCACTACTCTATGACAAGCGACCGGCTGGCTGCCTCCCAGAACCTTCAGAACATAGCGACCCTCATAGGGTGGTGAGGTGGAGGGAGGGAGGAGGAGGGGAGGGAGGAGGAGGAAGGGGAGGGAGGAAGAAGAGGGAGGAAAGAAGGAGAAGGGGATGAGGAAGGGAGCAGAAAGAATAGGAGGTTTAGAGAGGGTGTGTGTGTGTGTGTGTGTGTGTGCGTGTCGTGGTCAGCGCCAAAACACCACACTCGAACACACTCGGTCAAGGTCACACACTCGTACGACGCAGTTACTTGTACGTGTGTCATTTGTTTACTATTATTATTATTATCATTATTATTATTATTATTATTATTATATTTCTTCTCTTCTTCTCTTCCCCCTCTACCTCTTCCTCCTCCTGGGGCTATCTTAAAGGCTATACCAGGGCTATCTTAAAGGCTATACTAGGGCTATCTTAAAGGCTATACTAGGGCTATCTTAAAGGCTATACCAGTACTATCTTAAAGGGTATACCAGTACTATCTTAAAGGCTATACCAGTACTATCTTAAAGGCTATACCAGTACTATCTTAAAGGCTATACCAGTACTATCTTAAAGGCTATACCAGGGCTATCTTAAAGGCTATACCAGTACTATCTTAAAGGCTATACCAGTACTATCTTAAAGGCTACACCAGTACTATCTTAAAGGCTATACCAGTACTATCTTAAAGGCTATACCAGGGCTATCTTAAAGGTACACCAGGGCTATCTTAAAGGCTACACCAGGGCTATCTTAAAGGCTATACCAGGGCTATCTTAAAGGCTATACCAGTACTATCTTAAAGGCTATACCAGGGCTATCTTAAAGGCTATACCAGTACTATCTTAAAGGCTATACCAGTACTATCTTAAAGGCTATACCAGGGCTATCTTAAAGGCTACACCAGGGCTATCTTAAAGGCTACACCAGGGCTATCTTAAAGGCTATACCAGGGCTATCTTAAAGGCTATACCTACTATCTTAAAGGCTATACCAGGGCTATCTTAAAGGCTATACCAGGGCTATCTTAAAGGCTACACCAGTACTATCTTAAAGGTTATACCAGGGCTATCTTAAAGGCTATACCAGTACTATCTTAAAGGCTATACCAGGGCTATCTTAAAGGCTATACCAGGGCTATCTTAAAGGCTATACCAGTTCCTATCGTTTCGTAATAAAATACAGAAGAGTTCTCGCAGTGTTGGCAACCAGACATGACTCACTGTTGCCAGATGTCGCTGACGAGAATTAATCGATTTTTTTTTTGGGGGGGGTGTGTGGGGGGGACTTGAATATATATAAAGTGGGAGTGGTCAAGGTCAAAAGTTCAAGGTCAAGAGGTCAAGGAATAAGGTCAAGGTTATTTTTTTCTGTGATTCTTCTCCCTCTGGCAACACATTTTAGTAATTATTGATCATCTGGCAACACACACACACACACACACACACACACAGTGAACTCTCATAGGGTCATGTGATGTGTAATTTATAAACACCTTTCACTTTTTCCACTTAGTATTGTACAGTTTAATCCCAGTTAGTTCATCAGCGAGTCGCCAGATAGATAGATAGCTAGATAGATAGATAGATAGATAGATAGATAGATAGATAGATAGATAGATAGATAGCTTACTTTGATAAAATATGAATGTGTGTGTGTGTGATGACCTGACACGGGAGGCAACAGTGCACGTGGCAACATTGGTTAACTCTCTCTCTCTCTCTCTCTCTCTCTCTCTCTCTCTCTCTCAACAATGCCAACCGTTAGCCACAGAGACAGACAGAGAGAGAGAGAGAGAGAGATAAAGAGAGAGATAAAGAGAGAGAGATAGGTTCAACTCAACAAACCCCCGTGTGTCTCGTTTCCACCGTCTTGAGATAATCTTGCACGAGAGACCCTATAAGAGACTGGTGCGAGATCTCTTCCCTGCCTCGAGACTCTCTACTTGGCGAAGCTTCGTCTGGCGTAACTTGTGGGGCGTCGAGTGAATATATTTTCTCCCGTATAAAATTGGTTGAATAAAATTGTTGGTTGGTATCACATGAGAATCCCCCCCCTCCCCCCTCCCCCAGTTTATTTCACCTGACGATTAACCACGCTAATATTAACCTAATCTAACCCTATCAAATTTAACTTAACCTGACTAAACCTTGATGTTACTTTAACCTCACCCAACGTAACCCAACCAAACCCTAACCAAACCATAACCATAACCTAACCTAACCTCATCCCCAGGTGTGTGAGTGTACCTGTCAAGTCATATAGTTAAGATGCAGGTCGAGATGTGTTAAGACTCTGGGTAAACCTAAGTACGATTCTGTCCGCTGGAAGATGTTTTGGTGATGAGTATTTTGTCCAGTTCATGAGGCTGGTGACGTAATATTGTCCAGCGAGGTAAATTGTCCGGTGTTTATTTATTTGTTTGTTTATTTTATGGTGTAATAAAGGTTGGTACTTTGTTGTGTGGGATCTATCGGTGTTGTGTACAGTAGAGGTGAGAACTGACTCTTGTTCTTCCCCAACAGGAGCGAATGACTGAGGACAGACGAAGGACCTCACCAGCCTAGCACCACCATCAGCCGTCACCCTCCAGTACCTACAGGCCCGTCTCAATCTGCCCGGCCCCGCCCCCTCGACAGTACCGCCGTTAACCTTGTCGTGACCCAGAAACTCGCCCTCAAAAAAAGCTTCCCACAATGCACCTTGAGATCCAAGTGGCGCTCAACTTCGTCATCTCATATATGTACAACAAATTGCCACGGCGGAGAGTGAACATCTTCGGGGAGGAGCTGGAGAAGGCGCTGAAGGAGAAGTTTGAGGGACACTGGTACCCTGACAAGCCTATGAAGGGCTCCGCCTACCGCTGTCTCAAAGCCGGAGACCCCATCGACCCCGTCCTGGAGAAGGCGGCGAGGGAGGCCGGCATGGAGGTTCGAGAAATCAAGGACAACCTCCCAGAGGACCTCGCCGTCTGGGTGGACCCAGGTGAGGTGTCCTACAGGATTGGAGAGAAGGGACAGATCAAAGTCCTGTACTCCGAGGCCGCGGAGTCCGCCACACAAGAGGAGAACCTCGACAAGGAGGTGACAAAAACGTTCAACCCAGAGGCACAGTGCTTCAAGCCTATCGACAACCTGAGTTCGTCCCTTAGCAACGTGTCGATCAGCCCGAAGTCGACGTCGCCATACTCGGCCAGCTCGCCCACGCCGCCCTTCAAGCAGCGGGAGGCGTCCCCCATCAACGCCTTCCTCAACAAGAGCTCCGCCCCTCTCACCTTTACAACCGCTACCTTTGCCCAAACAAAATTCGGGTCCACAAAACTAAAGACGAGTACCAAGCGAGCCAACCGCATGTCGCCCACAGAGTTCTCTCACTACATTAAGCAGCGACAGATGATCCAACAACAGCAACACGTGCAGCAACAACAACAGCAGCAACAGCAGGCGGTGGCGGTAGCGACGGCCGGGTTCGGCAGTCAGTTCCCCCCGTCCAGGCCTCGCTCTCTGAGCCCCAACCCGCCCCTGGAGCCCCAGGGAGTGTACTTCCCCGGCGGCGCCCCGGGGGGCGGGGCCTACAACCCCTGGGGCCGCGGCATGTTCGACCAGAGCTTCACGTCACCGTCCTTCTTCACCGACCTGCTGCCCCCTGCCAGCCAGCAGGCGGCAGGACCCAAGTTCCCGCCTATGTATGAGCCCCTGAATGGTGGCATGATGGGCGGAGCCGCCCCCGGTGCCGCTTCCATGGGCGCCGGCGACAAGGCGACAGCGCTGAACGAGGGCGTGATGGGCGTGTACCCGGCGTCGCAATACCAGCACCTGCTAGTGGCCAACTAGAGGACGGGCGGGCCAGTACCACCAGCAGCAGCCTCCTCCTTGTCTCCCTGACCCGCCACGGAACAAAATCAAAAGGTGTCGCCTGAACTTGAGCGTGTCCCAGCAGGAGGACGGGCGGGCGTGTGGGCGTGTGGGCGGGGCAGCTGGCTGCTGGCCGCCACCGCCCACACCTGCACCAGCAGATCTGACACCACCTGCCATTATCCTTCACCTTTTATAATTTTGTACTGCCTCAGGTATAGACGATTTGGTTTATAGTATAATGACGAATATGCCCATGTTTCATAGAGTTGCCCATGGCTAAGGTAATATGCCCATGTTTCATAGAGTTGCCCATGGCTAAGGTAATATGCCCATGTTTCATAGAGTTGCCCATGGCTAAGGTAAAATGCCCATGTTTCATAGAGTTGCCCATGGCTAAGGTAAAATGCCCATGTTTCATAGAGTTGCCCATGGCTAAGGTAAAATGCCCATGTTTCATAGAACAATACAAGAGTTGCCCATGGCTAAGGTAATTGAAAGGTTGACTTTTCAAAGCCGATGGTTGTGAATCTGTACATAGGTTTTGTCTGCGAGAACAATACGAGGCACAGACTGTTGTTGTAAGCATGGATAAGATTACATTGTTGTACAATATGTACCCTTTATTATCATTAACAAATATGGCATATATTTTTCTTACTTGTACAACTATTAACTAACCGGTACGGTTTCTCTTAAGGTACGAAAACTAAATAATTTTGTGATAAGATGTGTGATAGAAGAGTGCAGTAGCGGTCCAGTACAAATATACACCCGATCTTGTTGTCCTTATAGAGGGTGAGTCTTCACGAGGGACTTTAAAACAAAAAGAAAAAAAAAGCCAAAAATATGTATCACAATTTAACCCAATCAGACACCACCACGCTACTGTGAACCAAAAGTAGAACCTAGACACTACACGAGTACGTAGGCCAGTCTCTCGAGGGAGGCGCTGAAGGTACTCTCGCCCGGCTTCTTCTGGCCCGGGGCTTTAATTGCCTTCTTCAGTTCTTTGATATCTCAGTAGAACTCCCTCACGTCCCGAGGAGCAAGGTGGTGACACTGAGGTGGCACTGAGTGGCACTAAGGTGACAAGATGGGCTCCAGGGTGATTACGGAAAAGTGTGTGTACGTTCGTTGAGAAGATAATGACTGACCGGCTTGGAGAGAGAGCGAGCGAAAGAGTGAGAGAAAGGGAGAGAGAGAGCGAGAGAAAGAGAGAGAGAGAAATGTAAAAAAATAAATAAAAACTTATAGAAGTGGTGATGGTTTGGAGAGGTGTTTGAGGATAACGTTGAATATTTTCCTGTTACATGTTTTAACTCTCATATCGACGGTAGACGAGGGTAGACGAGGGTAGATAAAGTAGAATACAATTGTAGAATATACGAACTCGCTGGCCCCGTGTTGTCGCCGCGAGAAATTTTATATTGAGTGTTTATCTGTGTTAGTTTACAGTGATTGTGTGAATGACTGCTATAATATTTTGGTAAACTATTTCTACCAACTGTAGCGTAATACCCTGTCTGCCAGCATACATACATACCTTCTTTACTCATGTTGTGTGACTCTGGGTTGGTGATGTTTACAAGTACGTATCTTTACTGAAGCTGGGATGTGTGAAAGCTCAGATTCAGGTTAAAATACGCCAGGTCCGGGCGTTGGATCCTAGAGATCCAGGCTAGAAATTGTAGAGCCACGCTAAAATACGCCAGGTCCGGGCTATGATACGCCAGGTCCGGGCTATGATACGCCAGGTCCGGGTTATGATACGCCAGGTCTAGGCTATATACGCCATGTCTAGCACAGAATACGCCCAACCTGACTTATAGACGCCTGATCGCGAACTAGCTATAGCAAAAAGTTAGTCAACGCGAAGAAAAAAACAACATTTTATCTGTAAGACTCAAGTGTGGCGAGCTCTCAGGAGGCCAGAAGCCAAGCGAGGTCGCCTGGAGGTCTGAGGGTATCTTGGAGGCCGCCTGGAGGCTCTTAAGAGGCTTAGGGGTCTCCTGAAGGCCCACATGGAGGCCGCCTCAACACGTATCTGGTCGCTGCAAAACATTATATATTAAGATAGTCTAATGGAAAGGGCAAGATAATAAAAAATAGTTAAAAAAAAAGCTGTCAAATGACCCACGGAAATTTAATGACTCTGGGTCGGTTGTTTTTTGTCAATAGTCCGGTGATAATCACTATGTAATTAAGATTGTAATTAGACACGCTTGGGGTGTGCCGGCAGTCAGGGGTGCAGAAGGTGGCGGCAGGCTGGCACTAGGCAGGGCTGTGTTGGTGCCACCTTACTGTAAGAGTGTCACCACCACACACAGTAATCTGGTGTGGTGGTGAAGGCCGGTGGTGTGGCACTATTGGTGTGCCTCCCTCCTGGGGTGTGCCACAAGGGTACAACTACCACACACTCACACACCACTGTAGTGTGAGATGGTTGGCTGGCACCGAGGGTTGGCACTGTGTATGTATGTGTCCCCATCCTGCCAGAGCACCAGCACCCCTGACACCGGTCACCGTGGCACTACAAGAAACTCTCTGTCAAAAACCATACTTGCATCCCCAGTCATTATGCAGCCCATTCCTGTTTCATATATGAATTTGTCATTATTATTGTCTTTCTAGTCACAAAGTAACTACTATTTTTCTAAACAGTGACGCCCAACCAGGCTGTCTGCAAGTATAATATAATATATTCATTTTTATAATTTCTTATGTTTTTATTATTGTGAAAGAATTAATAAATGTGTAGTTTGGAAAGTCATCTTTTTTATTTATTTGAGTTAACATCATTATTTACCTTCTTCCTCTTTAATGGTTATAAGTCTTGGCTTTATGGTATTCTAAGACCACACTTAACCCTCAAGCGGGAGACACACACTTAACTAAGACTCAACTCCTTCGTGATCATCGTTTAAGAATCCCGACTGACGCTTAACCTTGTACCTCATGGCATCAGCTTATCCCCGAGTCAACCATCGTTACACCAAATAAGTTGTCTGTCCGCTTGAGTGTCGGTCTTAAGGGTTGTCTCAGAATGTAGGGTCCAGCCTTGAGGGTGAGTTGGTGTGTGAAGAGTGGCGGAGAGCGAGAAGCCTGAGCGAGAGTGAGCCAATCAGATCACTTACGAGTTAATCTTGATGTTTCAGCCAATCAGATCACCTTTATTACGAGTTCATCTTGATGTTTCAGCCAATCAGATCACTTATATTATGAGCTCATCTTGATGTTTCAACCAATCATTTGCTCTAGATACAAAATGCCAAAATTCCTCTCAGTATGCTTTAGCCAATGAGAATCCACGTGCTATAAATTCCAGAATTCTTCCTCATTTCCAACCCAACAGCAACAACCCAGTGCTCAAATTCCAAAAGTGTTCTTGGTGTTTCAAACAAAAAAAAAGTGCAAAACAAAAACAAAAAAGTTTACATAAAATTCCAGAATTCTTTTACCAAATTCCCCCTCCCCCCAAAAAAATTCTCTTGGTGTTTCACGTATATAAAAAAAAAGTGAACTGATGTTAATTCTAGCATTTTATACTCGGTGTGTTCATCAATAACGGGGCATTTATACAAGTTCCAGAATTTGATATTGATGTCTAAACTTTACACCAGCATAAACGACGTAAATTCCCAGATTCAAGTTGTTGGTAATTTTTTACTATTAACAAGATCAGTATTTGTCTCTTGAGGCCAGAATGAGAATTTTTTCAAGAATTATTCATCAACTTTTATTCACACTCATTAAACTCTGGACCCAAATTCTGACTCTACAATATTCCACACTTTTATGTCCCCTCAATTCCAGACCAATAAAAATAAACAAAGTAACCTCCCCTCCCCCCCCAAAAAAAAACTGACCAATGAAAACTTACCAACAAACCAGCTATCAGCCAATCAGAGCTTTGATATTTTTTAATGCCATCTGATTACCCAATAAAAACCCCACATTTTCTTGCCACAGAAACAAAAAACCAAAACAAATGAAGATCAGATGAAGGGATTACCGACGCTTGAATCAAATAAGATAAATAAGAATAATAAGGAACAATAAGGTTAATCAGATCCTATGTCAAGTATAAGGAGGAGAAGGCAGGATAGGAGGTAAAGGTGTGAGAGATAGGAGGTAGAGGTGTGAGAGATAGGAGATAGAGGTGTGAGAGATAGGAGGTAGAGGTGTGAGAGATAGGAGGTAGAGGTGTGAGAGATAGGAGATAGAGGTGTGAGAGAGAGATAGAGGAGAGATAGGGAGAGGAGGTGGGGAGAGATAGATAGAGGTGAGAGATAGGAGATAGAGGGAGAGATGGGAGGTAGAGGTGGGAGAGAGGGAGATAGAGAGAGAGTAGGGAGATGGGGTGTGAGAGATGGAGATAGGGGTGTGAGAGAGAGGGAGGTAGAGGTGTGAGATAGGAGAGGTGTGAGAGATAGGAGATAGGGGTGAGAGATAGGAGGTAAAGGTGGAGAGAGATGGGAGATAGAGGTGAGAGATAGGAGATAGAGGGAGAGAGATGGGAGATAGAGGTGTGAGAGATAGGATGAGGTGAGAGATAGGAGATAGAGGTGGAGAGATAGGAGGTAGAGGAGAGATAGAGAAGAGGTGGAGATAGGATAGAGGTGTGAGAGATAGAGATAGAGGTGTGGAGAGATAGAGATAGATGTGAGAGATAGGGAGGTAGAGGTGAGAGATAGGAGATAGAGGTGTGAGAGATAGGTAGAGGGGAGATAGGGAGATAGAGGTGTGAGAGATAGAGAGAGGTGGGGATAGGGGAGATAGGGGTGTGGGAGAGATAGGAGGTAGGTGTGAGAGATAGGGAGATAGGTGGGGAGAGAGAGAGATAGAGGTGGGAGATAGGAGATAGAGGGGGAGATAGAGATAGGGGTGGAGAGATAGAGGTAGAGGTGAGAGAGAGAGATAGAGGTGTGAGAGATGGGAGGTAGAGGTGAGAGATAGGGAGATAGAGGTGAGAGATAGAGATAGGGGTAGAGAGGTAGAGGTGAGAGAGATAGGAGATAGAGGGAGAGATAGGGAGATAGGGTGGGAGAAGAGGGGTGGAGGGGAGATAGAGGTGGAGAGAGAGATAGAGGTGTGAGAGAGATAGGGAGATAGAGGTGGAGAGATAGGGAGATAGGGTGGAGAGAGAGGTAGAGGTGTGAGAGATAGAGATGAGGAGATAGGAGAGAGAGGTGAGAGATAGGAGATAGAGGGAGAGATAGGAGGTAGAGGTGTGAGAGATAGAGATAGAGGGGAGAGATAGAGATAGAGGTAGAGATAGGATATGAGGTGGTAGATAGGGAGGAGGTGTGAGAGAGGGGAGAGGTGGAGAGATAGGGAGAGGGGTGAGAGGGGAGATAGAGGTGGAGAGATAGGAGATAGAGGTGGGAGATAGGAGATAGAGGTATGGAGAGATAGGAGAGATAGAGGTGTGAGGGATAGAGATAGAGGTGTGAGAGATAGGGAGGTAGAGGTGTGAGAGATAGGAGAGGAGGTGGAGAGATGGGAGATAGAGGTGAGAGATAGAGATAGAGGTGGAGATAGGAGGAGGTGAGAGATAGATAGAGGTGTGGAGAGATAGGAGATAGAGGTGGAGAGATAGAGATAGGAGGTGTGAGAGAGAGGGAGGTAAGAGATAGTGAGAGACAAGAGATAAGACCCACGAATCAGGAACAACAATTAAACACAACAACGAAGAGAGAATGGACGAAGACGCCGATAAATAACAAACAAAACAAAGAGGAGATGGAAATAAGTTGATAAAGAATGGAGGAGTGAAAGAGACGATAACAACTGAACCAAATACTTAATTATTCTCTGTTGTTTGTTGATCTTATACAAATAAAAAGAAACAAACAATAACAAAAGAAAGAATGTGATAATTAGAGAATAAAAATATACAGTAAATAAAAAAATAACCCAAAATGAATAAATTTGGAATTGAATAACAAAAAATAATAATAATAATTTAATTCGTTGATATTATTCATTTTTCATTCAGTTCTGACTTAGGAGTTAATGAAGACTTTGCCCCTTATATATATAGAGAGAGACAGAGAGACACTTATTTGGAGATATGATTGAGAGATAATGTGTACTGGGAAACATGTTGGGAGATAATGAGGTCAAGAGACTGGAGAGACACGGGGAGATAATACAGTCAAAACAGTTCATTTAATAAGAGAGAGATAGTTCATATGGGAAGAGATACTGAATTTATAAAGCCAGATTAGGTCGTGTGGGAGATAAAAAAAAGAGACATTAAAGTGAGATAGTTCATGTAGTGAGATTCGGTGGGAGACAGTGAGAGACACAAGAGACTGGTTTATTTTAGAGACAGAGAGATGACTTGAAGACTCGTGTACAGTGTGATAAAAAAAAATCCAAGGTGCTTGTTTCAGAGATTCTCTTTGAGATATATCAGCTGGAGAGACTCTGAGAGACGACAGCTATAAAAAAAATGTGATAGAGAAGGGGGGGGCGGGGGAGAGAGATAGACCCAAGAGAACAGCCGACTAAGAAACTCTAAAAGAGACGTTGGCTAAGAGACTACGTGAGACATATCGACTAAGAGATAGAGATAAGAGACACACCCCACAAGAATGGCATGAACTGAGAGAGACACCCCAAAAAATATCGCCTGATAACTTTGAGATAAAAACAACCACTGAGAGAGAAAGAGAGATAAAGAGACTTCTCCACCAGGCTCGCCCGCTACTGCTTGTGATAACTGCTGTACAAAGCCTCATCGTGTTGGTAGAGGTGTGAGAGATAGGAGGTAGAGATGTGAGAGATACGAGGTAGAGATGAGAGATAGGAGGTAGAGTTGTGAGATAGCAGGTAGAGATGAGAGATATAGGATAGAAGTGTGAGACAGGTGGTTCTGTCTGAGGTGCAGCTCGTGTCAACATCGTGTACGTAAAGGTAAATTAGACCATAAATAATTGTTGTATATCTTCTAAGTTCAATATTATAGTGAATTGTATATATATATATATTTATCTATATATATATTTCTTTTTTGAAGGGGGAGGCGTGATGGTGATGGTGATGATGATGGTGATATGATGGTACTTAGTGATGATGATGATGATGATGATGATGATGATGATGATGATGATGATGATGATGGTACTTAGTGATGATGATGATGATGATGATGATAGTGTGAAAAAAATACATATACTATTATTCTACCTCAGTCGGTTAGTGTTGTAAACAGACCCACCTGAGGGAGGTAATAATTTATTGTGAACGGACAGGTAGAGCTAAAACACCTATACACACACATACGTACACACACACAGATGATGGTACAGGTTCACCTTGATTCTGGTGACTTCTGGCAGCTGTTTGTGGGTGGTGAACGTGGTTGGGCGTGGATGGGCGGGGATGGGCGGGATGTGACTACAAGACAAGACTCTTAGTTAGACCGCGCCTGCCCCACCCCCTCCCCACCCCTTCCCCCGTCTTAAATCCTGTCCATATGTGTGTGTCTGTCTGTGTATGTACGTCTGTCTGTGTATGTACGTCTGTCTGTGTCTGTCTGTGTCTCTATTTTGTGAAATGAAAAAATAAAATAAAAAGAAAGAAAAGAAAAAGAAATAAGACATTGTAGTGATGTGAGGTGAAGACAGTGCTAAGTCTCTGAGGGTTATTGTATAGTGGCGTAGAGGCGACATTCTCACACTTTGTAACACCAATACCGAACATATCTGTATTAAATAACCAAAAGATAAACAATAAACAATGATGCATATAGTGATGTGGTAGAGGAGACTTGTCTATACCTTCTTGAGTAGTGGTGGTAGTAGTGGTAGTCGTGGTAGTGGTAGGTGGTGGTAGGTAGTGTCACAACCCTATTTCTTACCTGTTTGAGTATACGACACCTGTATTCCGACACACACACACACACAGGTGGTCTTTCCCTTATAAATTATATCTTACCTGTCCCTCATTATTCTCGTCTCTCACACCTGTCCTCTGCACCTGTCCTCCCCATAAACTGGTTCCTCACACCTGTTCTCCCATAAACTGGTTCCCTCTCACACCTGTCCTCCCTAAACTGGTTCCCTCTCACACCTGTTCCATATTTTACACCTAAGTACTATCACACCCAGTACACCTGCCCCTCCACCACACCCACCCACCCACCCACACCTACCCACCCCATCACACCCACCCACCACACCCACCACCCACCACACCCACCACCCACCACACCTACCCACACCACACCCACCAACACCACACCTACCCACCCACCACACCTACCCACTCCACCACACCTACCCACAACACCACACCTACCCACAACACCACACCTACCCACAACACCACACCTACCTCCTCTACCACACCACACCATTTTGCCCTGAGATTTTTGTTCACTGACCTGAGACGTGACCTATACCCCTTAAGCGTGACCTTTACCCCTTACGCGTGACCTTTACCCCTTAAGCGAGAGGTTGTGTTTGAGCGCTGTCATGCTGTAATACTTCCGCCTTGCACAGGATGTATCAATAAACCAGCTCACCCCTCACCCTCCCCCACCTCCCCCTCACCCTACCCCCTCACCTCTAAACTTTAACTCAGGTGAGGTAATCAACAAGGCTCCTACATCACCACATCAGTATAGACAAAAGAGAGACAGACAGCCACTCTTATATCAACGCGACTTGGATGAGAATGGCGATGGTATTACGATAGTTTGAAATGTACTAAAAGGAAAAGTTAATGATAATGTTAATAATAATAATAATACCTTTTTATATAACACAAGAGATACAGTCTAGGATCCATGTAACTGTTATTTTATGTAACTTTATTTTATTTGCATCTGTAGAGTTGAAGAGAGATATATCGCTTCAGTGTACACAATGACTAGCTTACTCACCCCCACCACCCCTTCTCCCCCAACCCCCACCCACCTCCCTCAACCCCCACCACCCCTCCCTCAACCCCCCACCAACCTTCTCCCTCAACCCCCCACCACCCCTTCTCCCTCAACCCCCCAATACGGACAGCGCAGATGCCAGGAATGTTCAGGGGTGCCACGGAGAGGTCATGCAGTGCCACGGAGAGGTCAGGCAGTGCCACGGAGAGTCATAGAGGTCATGCAGTGCCACGGAGAGTCATAGAGGTCATGCAGTGCCACGGAGAGTCATAGAGGTCATGCAGTGCCACAGAGAGTCATAGAGGTCATACAGTGCCAAGGAGAGTCAAAGAGGCCATACAGTGCCACGGAGAGTCACAGAGGACACGCAGTGCCACGATGAGTCACAGAGGTCATACAGTGCCAAGGAGTGCCACAAGCAGCCAGCCACAAACCCACACGGACAGCAGCTACGGACGAACAAAAATGATATCACGGACGAATGAGTTAAATCAAGAAAGAAAACGACAAAGTACGGACAAAAGAGAGAGAGAGAGAGAGAGAGAGAGAGAGAGAGAGAGAGAAGGGGGGGGGGGGTAAAATAAAACAGTGACCCAAATACACCAGTGCTCAAGCTTTATCCAGTGTATCAGGGAATAAGCTTTGATAGCAAAAGCTGATTCAAGCCTTCAAAAGCTGACGAAAACAAAGACGAAGCCAAAAAGCTCTCATATGATCGATGTTATATAATAGACCTTGATAACTGTGTTCGTTAGGTTAGGTTAGGTTAGGTTAGGTTGTTATAGTGAGTCAGCTTTGTTAACGAATAATGACTTGGGTGTGATGACTGTTGTGACCTGAGGTGACTTGGCGGTGACCTAAGATGATCTGAAGTGACCTGAGATGATCTGAAGTGACCTGAGGTGACCTTATGTGACCTGGAGCGACCTGGAGGAAGGGAGTCAAAGGTTTAGGAGCTTCAGTTATATGAGTTGCTCTTTGTGACCCTAATTAAGGCACTGTAGTAGTCTGACGTACACACACACACACACACACACACACACACACAACACTGAATAAAACACGGTGTGCCCTGTAACCCCTTCAGTGTACCATGAATCATTGAACCAAGAGTAATAAAAAAAAATAAAAATAAAAAATCTTATGCAATGCAGTTCGTTCTCGACGTGTGCAAAGTCTCCTATGCACTCTTGTCCAGTTAAAGCTGCAGTGTGAGGCGCGGCTGACAACACCGGCTACCATGCAACCTCACTTCAGGCGGGGAGCAGCTACCACCACTACCACCATCATTACCTCCCTCACCACTATTACCACCATCTCTACCATCGGCTCCACCTTCATAATCATCATCACTACCACCATCACCACTATTACCACCATCTCTACCATCGGCTCCACCTTCATAATCATCATCACTACCACCACTACCACCATCACCACTATTACCACCATCTCTACCATCAACTCCACCTTCATAATCATCACCACTGCCACCACCATCACTACTACCACCACCACCAGAGGTACAAGATTGTCTGCGAACAATGAAGTTGATGGTGGTGGTCTTAGGCTAGTGTGTTGGTGGTAGGTTGTGTGAAGGATACAATGTGTACAGGTTTACACACGCACGCACACACACACGCACACACACTATATCGACAACCACTGTGCGTGTCGTCAGAATCATCGACAACCACTGTGTGTGTCGTCAGAGTCATCGACAACCACTGTGTGTGTCGTCAGAGTCATCGACAACCACTGTGTGTGTCGTCAGAATCATCGACAACCACTGTGTGTGTCGTCAGAATCATCGACAACCACTGTGTGTGTCGTCAAAGTCATCGACAACCACTGTGTGTGTCGTCTGAATCATAGACAACCACTGTGTGTGTCGTCAGAATCATCGACAACCACTGTGTGTGTCGTCAGAGTCATCGACAACCACTGTGTGTCGTCAGAGTCATCGACAACCACTGTGTGTGTCGTCAGAGTCATCGACAACACCATGTGTCGTCAGAGTCATCGACAACCACTGTGTGTCGTCAGTCATCGACAACCACTGTGTGTCGTCAGAATCATCGACAACCACTGTGTGTGTCGTCAGAGTCATCGACAACCACTGTGTGTGTCGTCAGGTTATCGACAACCACTGTTGTGTCGTCAGAATCATCGACAACCACTGTGTGTGTCGTCAGAATCATCGACAACCACTGTGTGTGTCGTCAGAATCATCGACAACCACTGTGTGTGTCGTCAGAATCATCGACAACCACTGTGTGTGTCGTCAGAATCATCGACAACCACTGTGTGTCGTCAGAGTCATCGACAACCACTGTGTCGTCAGAATCATCGACAACCACTGTGTGTGTCGTCAGAATCATCGACAACCACTGTGTGTGTCGTCAGATCATCGACAACCACTGTGTGTGTCGTCAGAATCATCGACAACCACTGTGTGTGTCGTCAGAATCATCGACAACCACTGTGTGTGTCGTCAGAGTCATCGACAACCACTGTGTGTGTCGTCAGAATCATCGACAACCACTGTGTGTGTCGTCAGAATCATCGACAACCACTGTGTGTGTCGTCAGAATCATCGACAACCACTGTGTGTGTCGTCAGAGTCATCGACAACCACTGTGTGTGTCGTCAGAATCATCGACAACCACTGTGTGTGTCATCAGTATCGACAACCACTGTGTGTGTCGTCAGAATCATCGACAACCACTGTGTGTGTCGTCAGAATCATCGACAACCACTGTGTGTCGTCAGAATCATCGACAACATCGTCACCCCCAAGTTAACGTCAAAATTGTACACAGATCCACGTTGTTGAACTTTATAAACGAGTAACAGAAAAAAGGTTTACTTAGATAGTCAATTGAACTTATGACCTCTTGTAAGTGTTCAATTCAACATACAAGTGTGGTGTAGCACTTTATGTTGGGGGAGTCCAGCAGCAGCCACAAGTACCGTACAAGAACAGAACAATGCTCTTAACCTCTAATAGTGCCAAGAACAACAACAAACTCAAAAACACTTTCATAAACATTAAACCCAAAAAATCAAAGAAAGTGTTTAGTACAACTGTTGGTTATGTTTAGGCAGAACCAAAACAAAGTAAAATAATAGTTTGGAGATGTGTGTGTGTGTGGCGACCTGAGTACAAAGACTTGGCTTACTTAACCTGAGTGGCAAATCGGAGGGTGTTGATGGAGAGGCTTCAAGACATCTACGTGGTGCCGCCCTGACGTTCCCAGACACTCATACACACACACACACTCAGACACAGTTTTCTCTATGTATATTTTGCATGAACTGTATACAAGTAAGGGGTTCTGATACAGCATTTACCAGAACCTAAACGTCTTTTCGTCAAGGAGAGAGAATGTATCAGTCAATGAGTAACTAGCGAGGTATTGGTGTAAGTAGGGTGTCGACATTCCTGTGTATGTATGTGTGTTTTGTAAGGTGAATATTATTAATGTAACATCCTCATCCCTAATACTTGAGGTGAGGAGGAGGAGGAGTTTAAGGAATGGCCGCTAACACTTGACAGTTCTGCAGGGGACAGGCGTGTGTGTTGAAGGGTCACCCCCCACCCCTTCCCCACGCCTAACACGGGTAATGGTGACTTTGTGTTCGTTGAGAGATACTGAACAGAAATAAATATGGAACTTGTACGTGAAAGGTTCTTATTGACGGCAACAAACCACAATATTAAAACAATGGATTAACTGGATGTGCTTTCTTGTGCATTTGACCACAGCGTACAGTACATAATAATAATATAATAATAATAAATAAAAAAATCCCTTTCGTTTGTACATAAGTCACTTCCCCCCTCCCTCCCACCCTCACCACCACCCCTCAGTCATCTTTACCCCCTCACTCCCCCACCCCCCTTCCCTCTCCCATCCTTTGAGTGAGGACCAGCCCACGACCAGCCGAGGACCAGCTCAGGATCAGCTCGGGACCTACGGCGTGGTGATGAAGGGCGTTTCCTCAGCGTCATAAACCTCACAGCTGCTGTCGTCTCCTTCCAATTGTCGCAGCTTTGTGTGGGAATACTTGTGTAAAATGCAAATAAAACTTTTGTAGTCCTATTTCTTACTTAAGGAAGCTATGTGTAATTTAAGGGATCTCCATCCAATATATAAAGACATTACTAAATGTGTACAGTTATAATTTTTCATACTGTTGTAAGATTTTTAAGTTTTTATTAAACCGTTTTGTGCATTGACTCTCTGGCTTTTATTAACCACCCTTAATTACCTAACAGGGGATATATATACCTGACCTGACCTGTCCTGTCCTGACCTGACCTGTCCTGATGACCTGACCTTACATGCCCTGACCTGACCTAACCTGAACTGAAAAGAACTCGCCCCCTCTCCTCTTACCTCACTCCCACTTCTCCTCACCTCTCCTCACCTCCTCACCCTCACCTCACCCCTCACCCCAGAAGAGGAAGAGGAAGACAAAGAAAAAGAAAAGGAAATACAAAAATAAACAAATAATAATAAATAAAAATAATAATAAACATATAACAAAAAATGACAAAAAGAAACAGAAAAAAACAAGAATGGAAGATAAATACAAAATAAAGACAAAATACAAAGAATACAAAACAGAAGATTGGTAAAACAACGAGAAATACAAAGAAACAGAAGAAGTAGAATGTAAGAAGAAGTTAAAATAGAAAAAGACAGAGAGAATACAAAAGGAGAAATGCAGATTAATAAAATACAATAGGGAGAATACAGTAGACAATACAAAATACAGCGAGACGTGTTCGTTATATCACAGCTTCAGAATAACACAGACACATACATACATACATACATACATGTATCCATACATACATACATACATATATCCATCCATCCATCCATACATACATACATACATCCATACATACATACATCCATACATACATATATCCATACATACATATATCCATACATACATACATACATACATACATACTTATATCCATCCATACATACATACATACATTTAGTTAAGTATTATATAGTCACTGTAGGTCACTGGGAAGGATTCACCTGTGTGTTAAGCCCAGGTAATTAAAGGTATTTCCCAGGTAAATAAACACCCAATTAGTGTGACCAGAAATAGGCAACCAATTACAGTCACGAGGTATAAGTGAAATGGCATCTTATTTACGGGTTATTAAATAGGGTAAATAAATAATGATTACAATGACACAATATGGAAATAAGAAGCAATTAATAAATAGGTCGACAATTACGGACTCAATTGCAGAGACCAATTAGGGAAAAGATGGAATAGTTAATTTATATATATGAAGGAGAGAGAGAGAGAGAGAGAGAGAGAGAGTCATAACTCATCATTGCCACACACAGAACCAACACCAAACACACACACTTTCGGAATTTCCTAGAATCTTCTCTCAGTTGACGCCCCCCTACCCGAAAACTGATTAAAGAAGACCTGCTGAAACTGCCTCCTAACGCCGTGTGTCTGTCACCTGTTCATATACACACACGCGTTCACAGTCCTACATACATACATACACATACCCATACGTCCATGCACATTCACTCACACGTGCATGACATACACACACACGTACATCTCACACACACACACACACACACATACATCACACACACACACACACACACACACACACACACACACACACACACACACACACACACACACGAACTTTAATCCACAATTTCCAAGTATAAAAATAGTTACTAATCATATAAAACAATTCATGTTTTTATCATTCTTTCCTCTCCTCGTCTCTCTTTATCTTATTTCCTGCTTCTTCTTCTTCTTCTTTTTACCTCTACGAATTTTCCTCATTACCTACTAGAAAAAATATATATACTTTTTAATAGATAGAATGAAGTGTGTGTGTGTGTGTGTGTGTGTGTGTGTGTGTGTGACGAAATCAATTAACAGACTAAACCAATTCAATAACATCTGCCACGTTAACAACCATTCCTGACAGCTTGTTACAGGGGTCGACTCTCAGCTGCGTTTCATAGTAGTGTTGATTAAGGAAGCGTCCCACAAGGTGATTATCTCATTCAACTTTTACTTATTTATTTATTTATTTATTTATTTATTTATAAGTGCCCAAGGTGGAGCTCTCTCTACCCCCTGCCTACCCCCTCTGCCTTCTCCCTGCCCTACCCTCTGCCTCCTTCCCTGCCTACTCCCTGCCTCTCTACCTGCCTCCCCCCTCCCAAGCGTGAGTCCTCCAAACGTCACATTGTCAGCCAAGGTCGCGGATATTTCCTCAAGAGCCCCGCCATTGATCCTGCAGGCAGCTCCCTACTCGGCGCCTCCTTCAGGATCTAACACACACACACACACACACACACACACACCATGAGTTTGTGTAGGTGTATAACAGATCATTGTGGTGTGGTAATGGTGTTTGAGGTGCTCTTATTAAATAACTTGCGCCATTATGATCAATGTATAGGAATTTTGTAAGGAATGTTGTTTGTGTATTGAGAGAGAGGGGGGTGGGGGTGTGAGTGAGAGGTGGGGGTGTGAGGAGTGAGGGGTGGGGGTGTGAGGTGAGAGGAGAGAGAGAGAGAGAGAGAGAGAGAGAGAGAGAGAGAGAGAGAGAGAGAGAGAGAGAGAGAGAGAAAAGGGGGATAGAATGGGAGATAGAGAGAGAGAGAGAGAGAAAGGATAGAATGGGAGAGATAGCGAAAGAAGACTAGAGAGAAGAAGCGAAAAGAGAGAGAGAAAGAGAGGGAGAGAGAGAGAAACAGAATAGAGGATGAGAGATAGAGAAAGAGAGATAGAGAAAGAAGGAGAGAGAGAGAGAGAGATCTATTGACATGGCCCCCCCTTACATGGCCCAGCCCTCAGCCTCTGGCCTTGTCCGAGTCTTGTCAAGAAGCTAGAATTGGCCTCAACAAAGACCCCGTTATAGCCACACAGAAACCCCTTTTATTTTTACCTAGAGTACATCTGTCCTTACCTAGAGTACACCTGTCCTTACCTAGAGTAAACCTGTCCTCACCGAGAGTACACCTGTCCTTACCTAGAGTACACCTGTCCCTACCTAGAGTACACCTGTCCTTACCTAGAGTACATCTGTCCTACCTAGATGACACCTGTCCTTACCTAGAGTAAACCTGTCCTCACCTAGAGTACACCTGTCCTTACCTAGAGTACACCTGTCCTCACCTAGAGTACACCTGTCCTTACCTAGAGTACACCTGTCCTCACCTAGAGTACACCTGTCCTTACCTAGAGTACACCTGTCCTTACCTCATCATTCCTCCTACCCTCACCCTCCTACCCATACCCCCTCACACCCCTCCTCACCCTTCCACTGTGACCCTTCCTCACCCCCTAGCAACCATTATATAACCGGACGCGCGTAACCAAACGACTTAACGAGGCAGTTGGGCAGTTAGTTGTTCTTTAATTGCTTATGGTATATGTATTGAGTAATGGCGTGTGTCCAGTTTGATGTTTCTTTG